GAGAGAGAGAGAGAGAGAGAGAGAGAGAGAGAGAGAACGCGTGGTGAATAAAAAGAGTGGCCTTGACTAATCTAATTTTCTCGAAAGAATTTTAAAAATCTGCAGTGAACATCTGACGTCTAATTAATTTTAACATACTTCTGACAAATAGAGTAGGTAGCAACAGATTAAGCTGGATTCAACGTATTTTTAGGTTTAAAGAAAACGTAACGTCTGCCTACGAAGATGGAAAACATGTTAGAATGAGTTCATGTCCAATCTTTTTTAAGGTATCTAGCTGTCCAAAAATCATGCAATTTTACATATTAATGTTTTTATAGCACCCAAACTGGTTATTTTACAACTATAATATTGATATTATCCAAATGCTAATCTTACAATCCGAAACCTATTTCAAGATATTCAAAATTTAAAACCACCTCAATCTCGTAGGTCAATAATATACTAACGTATGTTTCCATAGTGAGAATCTGAGGACAGAGGTGCCGCATTTACCAGGACAAAGTTTGTCGGGTGGAACGTATTGTGTCCAGTGGCAGCTAGCATGTTGAACGGAACATAGAATAATGAAAGGTATTGTGCCGCAGTGTGTTTAAAACTTATTGATTACAGATTAGTGTTCATGGACAGGTATAAATCATTTTCACCTGTCATATAAGTATGATCGGGTGTTGCATAAATAGGTAAGATAATAGGAGTGATATAATATTTGAGCTCATTTATATAAAGCCAGCATTGCCTCTCTTTTTCTTTCAGAGTTCAGTTTGTTAACAGTATCTTCCCACAAATTGGCATTCAACAACAAGTCTAGGCCTGCGGACGTGTTTGTTTACTTCAAAATTAAGGCAGACAACTCATCTGAAAGGATAAGGTGATCAAGTATGTTTTAATGTATCCACGTGAGGGAGTGTGAGAAAGAGTAGGACCACGTTGTCAATAAGGCAACGCGAGAGGAGAAGTTACGAAAATATTATACGTTGGTTATCAATTGCCTAGTCAATACTGTAGCAATAAACTTGCAAACATTGATATAATCATCAGTTCGACGTTCTATCAATTTGTTCAGGAAATTTGTATGGATTGAATAAGACCTCTGTACCCATATGTGTGCGGATAGAATACTGTCAAGGTGTTAAAAATACTTGAAGAATCTGTACAACAACATTTTGGAAGGGCTGATAATTCAATACAAATAAAAGTCGAGGGAAGGTTTTTAGAGTAAAACCAATGGTCTTTTGCGCTCACGACAAGGCTCACATCCAAGGTTCCAAGATTCTGGCACATTGGTAGGGGTATAATATCATTCTCATAAGTCTCATTAAAACACTCTCATACTACTGATTACCGTTTACCTGTCTCCAGAAACTTAAATGGCTTGACGGTACGTGCCCTTGATTCTGTACTTTCCATTGTTCATGAGTGAGAGAGGGATTGGGAAAGAGAGAGAGAAAGAGAGAGAGAGAGAGATAAAGAGAGAGAGAGAGAGAGAGAGAGAGAGAGAGAGAGAGAAGAGTGAAGAAGAAGAAGAGATAACAATGATGAAAATAAAGATGAAAATCAGAATGATTTAATAATGACAATTGTCTTTGGGAATGACGTCATACCATGTGATCGACCCCTCAAGAAATGGAGACCCCCTGATGTGCGTGGTAGGTCAAATAAATTCCAAATGTAGATCTAGGTCTCAAGTTTACTTTTATCAAGGAAGGTTCCCTGGTGGGAAGAACAAACCTGCTAGTCGTCAAATCAGAACTATTTTGCCCAGAGTGCACTGAACGTTTGAGAGCACTTAGGACAAAAATAATTCTGAGGCGACCCTGAAGCTGAGCACGATAAGCCTTTGAGAGGAAAACCCAGGGCAGTCAGACTACCGTTATATGTGAAATCTATATAGATATAGAAAAGCAAATTGTGACATATTAATGAAAGTAAAACAGTGTAGAACTGGGGCATCACTGCATTGTAAGTTTTGAAAGGCGTGGGAACGTCTCAGGCAAAGACAGCCTCCTACAGCCTGTTCACTCTAGTCTGCCTGCGTTAAAAAATCTGGCTCATTTACTAATTTATCCACGAAACTTTGCATGACGCTTCTGCAAGCCAGCAACCAAACGAAATATTATTGTTTTTTAAATAGACAAAACTAAACTTATCCAGTAATGAAAAAGTTTCTGTATTTGAGCCTTATGTTCTTAAAACCCGCTGTTTAGGTGCATACACAGAATCACTTAAATGAATGACTCACAGTAGATCTAACCTCGCCCAATAATTATTGCTCTTTTACTTATACTAGACAGCGACACACCCTGCCCCTAGGCCTACAGCTTGTGTATTTAATCCGACGAGTGTCTTCACGAGAGACGTCTTCACGTGAGTCTCAAAAGTACTCACCTCGTTTCTTGAATAGTGTTTCTTTGTCAAAGTTTGGTGTTGAGGTAAATGTTACGTTAAAATTTTCGTTGTTTAAAGTGTGTGCTGTAAATCCTATAATTTTCTAAACCCCTTTTTGGCTCACATCAAAGACGACCTTAGATTTCAGTGACAATAATGAATGGGCTTTGAGGTTTTGTTGGTTATCCAGTTTTTAGACCCGTATGCAAAGATCTGAGAAGGTTAAACAACTTTTCCATTACACCCCCTTTCAACCGTGGTCAGACGAAAGTAAACAAACTGTAGATCGCACAATATGTTGTGGGAATGTGAACATTGTGCAACAGTACAATGTGACTGTGTTGGTACTTGGTGCTTGAATTCCGTTAGTTGTTACAAAGCTCGATCTATCCTACAGACTTCTGTTTGTAGTGGATGTTATTCAAGACGCAATGATTATACCTTTTTTAAAGACTAATGTTCATCTCCGGTCACAAAATAAACGGGAACAGTTGTAAGTTCTGGTACCATACAGTTATTTCAATATAAAAGGTAACTTGGAGCTAGATATAGATTTTTCATTATTTGAAAAAAAAACATATTATGTCAGACATTGCCCCCTGCCTTTTATAATTTCGGAAAATACTGTAACAGCCTCAAACTTAAGTTCGGCACGGCGGAGGGTGCGCGAGTCGCTGGAGGGTGCTCTGATGTGATTTACTCCTTCTTTCCTATCAAACATCTAGCGTCCTTATATTTTCTTCTTTTTTGTGTTTGTTACTCTCTTGCAACACCTCTAATCTTCGGAACTTACTACATAATCTAGTTTAGTAACAAATGTCGAAAACGCTTACAAAAAACAAAAACAAAAGCAAAAATTACTCAAACTAAAAAAAAAAAAAAAGAGGCGGGGAAGGCCGGCAAAACGAAAAAAAAAAAAAAGACTATCCGCTTAGACGTCAGTTCTCATCTGGGAATTGCAAGCGACTACAGCGCCAATATTTTATTCAAGACACTGGGGCAGAAAACAGTTGAGAGGGAAGTCACTTGAAATGCACCTTCTCTTTTGCAGCAGCAAGGTTTTTATTACTCGTATATAAAACCCCTAAGATAATAATATCTGAATAGCCTAACACGTTTCTTACCTGTCTTCCACGGTGTCTGTAATTATCACGTGAGTAATTTCACGTGACCAAAAGTCGCCAAAGACAATATCCTGAATGAAGCGAAAAAAACCCTCCTCAAGGAAATAGTCCAGAAGTTTCTACAAGTCACGTTCTGTAATTTTGAATATTCCCTTGCATTCAACAATTCAGCGATCTTTTGGAATCTCAAATTCCACTTCCTTCAAAATGCAAAACACTCGGTAAACTTTAAGAGCCAGGAGGCGCTTGGGCCATTTTTTTGTGACAGTATCTGTCATCAGAATAGGCCAATGATTCCGAGCATCCACAAACGTGTGGGACCGCCCGCAATGATGTGCCTCTCTTCTCTCCCCGCGTCTGTAGTGTCTCCACTACCTAGCCTACTTCTGCCGCTCAAAATTGCCCCCTTCACGATAGTCCACGAAGTTCAACAAATGGTAATGAAAGAGAAAAGAAAACACTGCCCTACAGGAAGTTGAGTGGAAGTTTTTATATCTAGCACAACTTCAGTTTCATTTAAGAATCCGCGGAAATGATATCCAATTTTTCAACCGAAACGCACTCACATCACTCGCTATCACAACAGTACTAGAAAGGACAGGCGGAGGCATTAGGCACTCATGTTTAGCACGAAGCCGCCCTTCGCATTCCCACAGCGCGAGAGCAACAAACGGGCGGCGAAGCGAGCGAAAAGATCGGGGGCGCTCACGTGCGATACCGCGAACGGGCTGGT